CGCTGGCTGCTCGAATTTAATAAAAAATGTTTTATTAAGTCATAAAAATATTTTAATATTTTGCTCATCGTCTGAGAAATATGTATGGAGAATTTGCATAACTAAATGCGCATTGCAATTGTGCAATTTTGCGAGCAGAGGCAACCAGGAAGTGCAGCTGAGCCAGCAGAGGCAGCAGCCTCATGCAGAGCACTCCGTTCGATCCCGCTGCGCCTTGTGGGTGAGAGTCAAAGGGCTTCTGGATGTAGCTTTATAATGAGAAATAAATACTCGTACCTAAGAGTCTTGGTGGGGCATGGGGCATGCCCGTTCCGTTGAGGCTTCCACTACACACACACACACACACACACATCACGCACAATCAATTAAAGTTTATCTGTCTGTCAGAGAGGGTCCTTGTCACAAAGGCGAATTCTTGACTGCCTGTTACAGCCGAGAGTCGAGGGCAATTACACAAATTCCAAGGCATCAATGGGAAGCGGCTATTGGCATTTAAAGTGCCACATCAGAGCGACAACATGGCGTGCCAGTCTCACATAAATCGTTCAGTTCTGCAATCCAACAGCCCTACAATTGCCCACTATCAAAGCAATGCTCAGTGAAATGTTCACTGCGGTTGACCCGCAAATTTGTCTAGGCCATCCCCAGTGAACGATATTTCTTTCAGCTTGGATTAAATTGCCATGTTAGTTGACAACAGAGAAGATCATAAGCGAGCCTGATGTAAGTACAATCGTATGACTTCGCCACCATCTATGAAATTCCCAGTGAGATATACCATACGCTATTGACCCGCAAATTTGTCTAGCTTCTCACCAATAAAAATCTTTTTCTTTTCCAGATTTTACCATTTTTTTTGCAGTTAATATTCAATTACCATTTTGGCCGAGTGCAGCCCAGGGCAGGCATTAACTTGCGGCTCATTAGCGGGCCTGAGAACCGTTTCTGTTTCAGTTTCAGGTCCTCCTCTCGACTCGCATTACGGGGCCAAAAAGATGTTATCGCTAAATTACGGCAATTTGCATGTAAATGTTGTTTATCAATTTAAACGCTAAATGCTTTAGAACTAATGACGGGTGCTGGCCGAAAAGAATAAAGAAATTTTTTCACCCTGCAGCTCTGGACCGAGACTCTGGTAACGGTTCACCATACTCTCGTACTTACCCCACGAAGGCCCAGTCCAGTCTCAGCCCCAGTCGAAGCAGTCTACGGCTGTGGCGGCGGCTGCGCCTGCAACACGATGTGAGGAGTACGAGTACTTGCGGCTCACATTGTAACAACAATATTAAGGTAATGACGTGTCATTAATTTTATTACAAAATGTGTATGTGAATGGAGGTACCTCGTCCATGGTCATGACCAGATCCATGTCCAGCTTTGGCCATGAATACCCAATACACCATTTAGCCCATTGGCGTTGTTTTATTGAAATCTGGCTTTTTTTTCTTTTTCTTGCAGACTGCTGGTCTTCCGCGTTTGATGGTTAGTGAAAGCCAGATGCAATTCTTCATCTCAATCGAAAACCGATCCCATATCACATGGCGCAGAGGGAAATAGTTTACATTGTGATGAAATGCGATTATATCTGTGTGTGTACGAGAATGGGAGATATATTCTATGAACTGTTGACTGCATAACTCACTTTCAGGAGAGGCGATGAGGAGGCGATCCCATGCCGATTGCCTCCTTTTTTTTCATTCTGGGCCAACGGACAGAGAGCGGCAGAGGCACACAGACAGAGGCAGAGGCATCAGGCCTGACACTGAAAAATGCAAACAGAAATAAAACAAAAGACTTAAGCAACAAACTGAGTGATTGCAATTGCTTTGGTATGTGTGTTGGGGCGCTATTTTTAGCCGGCTAAATAGTTGGCATTGGCCCAAAGGATGACCATCCGAGGATGTACAATACACTGGAGCAGGAGCACCCTACTACTGCCAGATCCCAGTCCCTGTCTGCCTGTCTGCCTTGGCCGGCGCGGCGTTGCTATGGCAGCATATTATTTTATAGCCGCGCGCATAAATCTTGCAAACGCAGATAAAAAGAACGCTTTATAGAAAAATAAAAATAAATAAAATGCTCTCCAAAGGGAGACCGGGCAACCGGATTGGTGCGGCAGACCTCGCATTGATGGAAACAATTTATGGCAAAATTAATGATAGATTATGGCGCTGCCAATTAAAAACCAACAAACAAGCTCACAGTTTATGGACGACGACCCATCCCAACAGTCCAGCAGCAGCCCAATCCCAATCGACGCCAACAGCATCTTGGAGCAGTACTTGGCGATAGAAATGGTAAATGAAGATGAAGTGATGGAGCTGCCACAAAAGAGTAGGTGTTTAGACGGATTGTGGTTATTGGCATTGATTTGCTTTGTTGCTTGTTTCTTGCTGGATGAGTGACAAATTGCCTCGCCAGATGAGGTGACATCATGTCCGACATGCCCGCAGCCGTGATTCCAGGTAATTAAAATACAATAAAGGGGTAAACTCGAGTTGCCTGTTTGATTAATAACCTATAGCCGAAGTCTAACGCACCAGTCTGCTATTAAAATCAGTCAAGCGCAATTAGAACAAAGCCGAACAGGGGAAACCACGGAAATCTATATACGAGTATTTCCTTTAAGGGGAAGTCGAAGAAGCCGAATCTTAAGCGGAATTCTGCACGCCTGATTCTTTTGGCCAACAATGAGATCACCGGCATAATCATAAGCACTGCTGGTACAGACTCTAGATATACATATACTTGGGTTTTTATAAAATACGAATCCCGCACTCAGTCAGTATACATACATACATACATACATACATATGTACGTGAAGTTATGTATGATTTATGTGGAATTTATAAATATTTTATCAGTTTACATTTTTTTGCTACATCTGTCATCTACAATGTACTTTATACATTTTCTCCGCCCAAGGGGGCGGGCGAAACAGTGTAAGAGTGCGATATCACATCACAGTCTGGAAACATAATTTGGTTGCTCTAGCTCTTGTAGTCTCTGGGACAGACAAACAGACAGGGACTCGGCTATATATATAGCGGGGTCGGAAACATTTTTCTATATCTACGTTGCACACATCTACTTTTACCACAAATTTAATATACCCCTTAACCCCTCGAGCTAAAAACAAAACTTTTTTTTGTTCTATGTAGTGTACAGTTGCGATTAGTCAGAGACTTAAACAATAAAATCACAATAATGGGTTATGATCATGAAATAAAAAATGATAGTGTCACCCGCATGAAAAATATTACATTTCTTATTAGCTTTTCATAGGCTTATTTGTAAACTCTTGTATTGCTATCGCTTACGTCGATTAGTGCACTAGCAGATAAGGCCGCGACTATCTGCACAGGTTTGCCTTTTCGGTTGACTTAAAAATAGAAATGGGAGTCCCCGAGTTATTCGCGGTGTGTACAATTCGGTCAAGTGCATGTGTAATTTGATTCGCTTTGATTTTTCCCAGTTGATGACTGAAGGTCAAAGTGGAAATAAAAAAACTAATATTAAAAAATTGAAAAATAACTAAAATGAATTTTAATGTTATATATTATATATATATATGTATATATGTATATATATATATGTATATACGTATATATGTACATATCTATAAATAAAGAAAAACTTTTTTGTGTTGATATTATGCTTGTTATTACTACTACTTTTTATTGTTATTTTATCATTTTCTGCGCAAAAAAAAATGTCCAGAAATTATAAATTTTCAGAAATTTGATTCCCCCCAAGAACAATGTGGTTCTAATTTCCGAACTTTCACTGCATTGCAAGGTCAAAAGAGCCTAAAAAAAAGAAGGCGTTGTCATACATATGTATGTACATATATAAAGTATATGTCTACATAAATATGTATGTACATACGTGTATACTCCAATTGCCGGTAGAGAAAAAAAGAAATTAAAGAAATTGTCGAAAAAAAAATATTTTTTCAGCCAGTCACATTATGCAATGACTTTTTAAGTGGGAAATAATGAAGTAAGCCAGAACAACAGCGATTGAAAGTTAATTAAGTTGCCCCGTTTTCTGTCTTGGGTTCAAGAAACTATCGCACGCTTCTTGCTCGACGATGCCAAAATTAGAAATCCAAATGTGCTGGACAAAAGGCGCCCAAAGTAAGAGTCGACATCAACACCAACAGCGGCGAGTCAGCTAAGCCAGCTTTCCATTATCGTAAAAGAAGGCTGGCAGACAAAATTAATGAAATCACATTGAAAGAGTCATAATTCTTATTGTAGCTTCGACGGCCACAGACCGCAGGGAATCATTAAAATCGTGTGTAGCCCTCTTGTCAAACACGGGGCGAAGCAAAAGCAGAATCAAAGCTGTGCCGGGGGGGCATCGGGAACGGCAAGTGCTCGATCAGCACGCGATTTGTAAGAACAAGATAGCACCGACATGTACATTGAATTCAAGAATCGAACACGAGGGAGCGGTACAGAGACACAGCCACAGTTATGAATCATTATGCAAAAGCCAAGTGTAAAAGGAAAAATATGAAATAGAACAACTACTGAAGGCAAGCAAGCTTGGGGGTCCGAATTCATCGTTCGTTTTGACCAAAATGTCTGAACTATAGGTTTTCATTCTCAAAAAAAAAAACTCTTTGTGGAGTGAGCTAATATAACAACAACGACTATAACAATTATTTTTGAATTTTCCAATTGATTGATTGATTGATCCAATTAAACAGTATACTTTATTGCAAAGGAATTTTCACGGTCTTATCGGAGTCCAAAGAAAGCGGACACAACAAAAATGATAGCGAATTCAAGGGAAAGTACAAAATTATTGAACATATACATACCTATTTTCATAGTATTAGTGTTTAAAAGAACGGCAAAATCCATACCACGTTTAGTTGTGAACTGCACCTAGTTGACATCGGTCGAGTCAAATTCAGAAAATTGAAAAAATGTCTGATTATAAAGTTTGTAAAAAAGTTCTTGTCCTTAACACTGGTGGCACCATTGGCATGAAGCCCAACGACCAAGGTGGTAAGTACATCCAAATAGCACCAGTTCAGTGATATCATTGGAAATATTTTAGCATTGGACACAAAGGACACAAAAAATGCTTTAAAAGTGTTTCTCCGGAAGGAACCCAGCCTGCATGTCGCCGAACTACAGGTCCCGGCAGAAGAGAATCTCTTTGCGCTGCCCCCAGTAAAGGGTGAGTCAGACCAGGTTCTTTACAAACTCATGGAGTACGATCCATTGCTGGACTCCAGTAATATGGCTGGGAGCGATTGGAAGCGCATAGCCGAAGACATTAAAGTAAGTATTAAAAATAATTAGGAAATAACCTTAACTCACAGAAATTGTTAACGCACAGACGATGTACGATTTGTTCGATGGGTTTGTTGTACTCCACGGCACCGATACGCTGGCATACACTGCCTCTGCCCTGTCATTTATGCTGTATAATTTGGCTAAACCGGTGGTCGTTACTGGGTCGCAGATACCCATCTACGAGACACGCACCGACGGCAGGATCAACTTAGTCTCGTCACTGATCATTGCTGGCTGCTATAATATACCGGAAGTGTGCGTCGTCTTTGCCAACAAGCTGCTTCGTGGCAATCGAACGGTCAAGGTCAATTGCAACACTCTGGAAGCTTTCGACTCGCCCAACGCTCCCCTGCTGGGCACGTTTGATAATGTCATAAATATAAATAGTTCCCTGATACGCCCAAGACCCAGTGGTAAGCTACTCACTGTGGGAGGCGTATTGGAGATGAATGTGGCCACCTTGAAAATAACTCCGGATATGTCACTGGATTTGATTGAATCGGCTCTGGCGGAGCCTATTAAGGGCGTTGTCCTGGAGTCCTATGGTAGTGGTAATATACCCTCAAACAGGATCGAAATAATTGATCTTCTACGGAAAGCTGTTGAACGCGGAGTTATCATCGTCAACTGCACACAGTGCCTGTCCGGCTCCGTAGCCTCAATATACGATGCTGGAGCAGTGCTTTACGATGTGGGCGTTTTATCCGGTTCGGATATGACTTCTGTGGCAGCATATACCAAGCTGGCCTATGTCCTGGGGTTTGATGTGCCGCACGATAAAAAAATTGAGGTAAGCTACGACCGGAAGCGTTTCACAGAATACTCGTGCAACGAAATTTATTTCAGCTCATGAAGTACAATTTACGCGGCGAAATAACAATGGCAGATATGAACACGAACTAGGAACTTCCCCCTATTCGGAAATACACTTTATCTATCTACAAAATATACCTATATACCCCTTTATATGTATATGTATATATATGTATATAGATATGTATTTCCAGTCTGGAGCACATTTGTATAGAGGCCAATGCAAAATAAAAAAATTATATCACTCAATCGGACTGTATTACATTCACTCATATAAAGTAAGGAAAATATGTCTATAAATGAGATCACTTTTTAATTTGACTGATGATTATCGTGTTTATTTTTTTTCCTTATCGAACCAAATAATACTCGCAGTGTTCTTTTAGAGCACTTTATTAATCCACTTTGCTTTTTGCCGTCGGCAATAATCGTTGATATAAATTTTGGGTAGAATTTTGTCCACTTCTCAGCCCATCCGCCTGCCTGTATTACGCAACCGAGGGCCCTTAAAGAGTTAACCATCGTTAAAGTGTTGGCAAGCAATTCCGAGATCTCAATAGTCCACTCACATCAAAACGTTTAGCGTCTGCCCAGCTGCTGTTTCAACAAGGGTTTTTATACCCGTACTCAAAAAAGAGTCAAGGGGTATATTAGATTTGTGGTAAAAGTGGATGTGTGTAACGCAGAGAAGGAAACGTTTCCGACCCCATAAAGTATATATATTCTTGATCAGCATCAATAGCCGAGTCGATATAGCCATGTCTGTCTGTCCGTCTGTCTGTCTGTCCGTCTTGTTGAGCGCCTAGATCTCAGAGACTATAAGAGCTAGGGCAACCAAATTTGGTTTCCAGACTCATGTAATATCACACTGCTACAAGTGTATTTCAAAGTTTCGCCCCGCCCCCTTCCGCCCCCACAAAAACTAAAAACGCATTGTCGTAGAGAATGCCCATATCTACCAGACTGCTGAATCAGATCGGATCATAATTATAGCCAGAATGAAGAAATTAATTTTCAGTTGCTTCCCCTGCCCCCTCCAGCCAACGACCACTCAACGCGACTCAACTTGTATACCCGTACTCAGTCAGTATATAAATTTGTGAGCTTATGATTTTGACACAGGATTACGGTCCAGGTGCAAAATCAGTAAGCGTCAGCTAAAATACAGTGCCAGTCACTTGTCTAGACAAACTAGACTACAGTTACTTGCTTACGTTCTGACTGACAAGTTAAGTGCGAAACTCTCACTCACATACCAGAAAGTTTTGGAACAAAACCTTCCTACGGTCACATGCATTGAAAAGAGGGGTTTTTGGGGGGATGGCGCAGCGTTAGTTTTGGGAGGATCTGGCATTGGTGATGCGGCCGCAAACACAGTAGGACGCGCAAATATTTATACCGAAATGCTAGACACTTTCACGCAGGCAGACGCGACAAATACAATTGGGGTCAACATAATAGCATTGATTGGCAAACTTTTTGTGTCTTCCAAAACCTGAGTCATAGGCTGTTTACATTGGGACTGCGTCATGCTTCTTTGCGTCTTGGCGAAGACGCAGTTTTTTTACATAGGTTAATCATAGGGCCCTAGTGGTGGCAAAAAGTTGCGTCGGTCTCTGATTCATGTGCGTCTATTCGATATATTCGATTGCTTTTGCGCTTAACTGCACATTTTTGCACTTTTCTGCCTATCAGCGCAACTATCACCTCTAAGAACAACAAAAAATTTGTAGTTAAAAAATCAAATTTTGGCGCTAAAATGAATGGTTGTGCAAAAAGGTGAAAATATACATAAAATCATGAAATAAAATACTTGAAACTGATTGTATTATTATCATACGACATTTTTGTGATCCCCTGATGCCATTATGACACTGCTGGAGACGAACTTCGATGGTTTTCATAATTTTAAGAAGAACTCCCACAAGCTCTACAAAGAAATGTCTGAAAATAATAAATAAATATAAGAATAAATTCTCTTTCGTCCATTTTCTTGTCGTCTTGCATAATTCTGTTGATTTCTCAAAATTTGTTTACTTTCCTTGTCATCAAGCACCCAAAACAAAATTCAAGACGCAAATCTGCCAATGTAAACGCCTTTTCTGCTTCATTGCGTCTATTCCGATATCGATAGCAGACGCGCCCAGTGTAAAAAGGCTATTACAGAATGAAATTTCTGCCGAAACTTTGAGAATCTTGACCAAAAAAAAAGACGTCGATGTGAAAAAAAATTAAATTTTTCATCAATCAACCTTATGTAATAAGTATATGAACGCGCTTGGCAAGTTCCGTTTTATTAATGAATCTTTATTGATTTAAAACTTATATTTATACAGAAATCATAAAGGCGAGTTGCCCCCATGCAGGTGTATTGACGTGGGAAACAAAGCCTCGTTACGTAAGGCTCCCACGGTCAATATGCAATATGAGGCGTCGGATTTCGGACGGCGGCGGTAGCTGCGCAATGCCTGTTACGCAAGGTTCTTGGTCTGGATGCAGACGCATCACTTTTGGGCAATGCCAGCGACCGCCGCTGGGCCCGCGTCATATTGCAATTTGTCTCTAGAGTGGTGCTCAAATTGATTAGCCCAAACACACTGCATGAATATACTACACTTAGTAGGCACTTACGTGCCTACTAACAACCGAATTCTTCCATTTAATCAGAAAATCGGAGATAGAGAATCTACGTTTTAGATTTAGATGAAGATAACAAACAGATATAGCAAAAATATTTTATATCAAAAGCTCACATATGTATATTACTGACTGAGTACGGGTATAAAGTTGAGTCGCGGCAACAGAAGCGACTCACAACGTTCCTCCTCGTTTTTATTAAATTCAAAGGGACACATAAGCTATCTGGCCATATATATTTGCAACGAGTAACGTACATTTTATTGATGACCATCAGTGCTTCTAAGTATGTATGATCACCATTTCATGGAGCATAACCCAATGCTAATGAAGTTGGGATTTGGATGAGATGCCGCAGCTATAGCCATATATATAACCATAATCTATAGCCACAGGCAACTGGCAGGCCTTCTGCCCAATGAGGGGGGTCTTGGGCCTCCAACTATGTCGCAGCTCAAACGCCACCTGATGCATGTGCTTGGCGTGTGTCTAATTAAAAATGTCATCAACATGGCTTTATACAAATTTAATGCCTTTTTAAAACACTCGTAAATGAGCATTGCTTTGCATAAATATTGCAAAACTCTGTTCAATTCCATCAAAGGATTGTACCATTTAACATATGTACATATGTCTGTTTAACAAACAAATTAACAAATCATCCAACCTTGAAGTATTGCCAATTTTAGCTAATATTTATGAAGTAAATATGCCAATAAAACTTTCAATTAAACGATTTATAAATCATTCAATAAAGACAAAAACTTAAAAATGTTAAACGCTCAATACAAGTGTATTAACAAGTGACTCATGTTACTCATCTCTGTATACCATTACTTGATTAGATATCATGGACAGACATGTCTATATTGACTTGCCTACTGCAACTGTAACTGCAACTATATTTCCTTGTGTGTGTTACCACTTCCCTTAACTCTTTGAGTACGGGTATAAAAGGATAGAAGTAAATCCAATATTTTGTTAGACAATGTTTTCAAAATCTCTTTCCCAGCGCCGTCAGTGCATGAAATTTATGCTTGTGTGCTTGACCTCTGTGTAATTTCTATACTTTTTTTGTTTGCTATTTTTTGTTTGTTTTCTATTGCTGACAAATTTAAATAGCTGCTTTCGTCAGCTGATTATTTTCTGCAGGTATAGATAATGTTATACCTTTTTTTAATGCAAAAACATCTCACAGGGGAGGTGCTATGATTTTATTTTTTTTCCTTACGAATGTACTGAATTTCCCGTCTTGAATAAATATTTTTCTAAACCCCCTCGGCTGCAACAGAAAGCACCGTTCCGACTTTGACGAAAGTGCTGGGATGTGACGGATGTTAGTCAGCCCCGTTCGACCCAATAAAACGAAAGCTTCTTGCAGCGATAAGCAGTGTAATTTATGGCCCATGCAAGTGAGACAAGTACTCGATTTTTAACTACCCCTTTCCATTACGATTAATGACTCATGTTGATACGATCATTGTAAAGTTTTACACGAACTTAAAATTTGTTAAAGTCAATAATAATAATGGATCACACCCTTAAAAGATTTAGTTGATCTATTCGCAAAAACCATAGAATATCTTTTTCCACAGGGTATATAACTGCAAGCGACAATTCATAAATTAACGTTGCATGTTCGGTTGGTTGAAATTTTCGACAGAGCTGTTCAAAAAGCGAAAACATTTTCAGGTCATTTCTGTGCAAGTGTAAATGGAGCAGTTGGGGTAACAAACTGTGACCGTTAGATATATACTATACACAAATTGGTGTGCACGTACGTATGGGCTGCCTTTCTATACTTTCTTTGCAGCAATTGTTGACTTACAGTTAAAGCAGATATATCCGGGGATCTTTTCTTCAATTGGCACTTATTTTTGTAGATTAACAGACCTAAAATACGATTAACAATGACATCATACCAAAAAATTGCTCATAAACTTACCGGCCACTCCCAGACACATTCGGTAAGTTGAGAATTTCCGTTGATTTGAATCTGACATTTGTACTCGCATGCAGCACAGATCGGTAGAGTTGAAAAGGTTTTCCATGTCACAGCTCATTGAGTGCACAAAAAGCCCAAGCCGCAACAAATCAATTTGACATCTGCTCCAGCAGATCATGAGCAACGGCCCGAATGAATTTTGGAGCAATTGTGGAAAATGGAAAAGTCTATTGAATGGAAAAGGAGACGGAAAATCCGCCGCATCAATGGCCTTCTATCATCATCAGCAGCATCAGCTCTAACGATGCTTCAGGCCCCTGGGGAAATATTACTTTGCCGTAAGTATCTGTTAATTACCATTTAATGTACGGGGCTGGCCTGGACTGTTCTGGGGACGCGTGTCAGTAATGTACCGCCCCCAATAGCCTCGGCTTCTTCCTCCGTCAAGGTCGTTTGGTGCGCCGGGTGCGTTTTCATGATGATCTCATAGTGCACACATGGTCTGTTCTGGGGAAGTTACCTGCTACCAGTTACCGACTACCAGTTTGTTTTGCATTTCAATTGTCCCACAGCACTGTGGGACGTATATTAAACATGGCAACCAAGAAGAAATTTTTCAAACTAAACCTAGTTGTTGTTCGGTTTTTTAGAAACTTGTCAAAACACTTAAGAAAGCAAAAATATTACAGTTGAAGCTTATCACCCACAGTGCAGTTGTCGGATTAAGTGGCCAGTCATT